AAAAAAATGTTGTGCATTCTTCAAAGCCAAGCAATAACTGTCCATTCACGCAGCCAAATGTTCGGTGGGCTCCTTTGAATAATTGAAATTCACATTGATCAACTCGAACAAATCACCAACGATTGTTTTCCTCACGTTAAATAAATGACCAGTTTGTAATCAAATAAGATCCACTTACATCGACAGCATCCTCCTGATATTGTTCAATGTCCATACGATACTGATTCTGATCCAACCACACACGATATGTACGTGAATCACCCTCCAACAACGGCTTCTTCTCGTATGCGGCTGAAACATTACGCTCACATAAGTGTAATACTCACACACAAACGCATCCAATAAAAGCATATTTGAAAAAACGATATACGATTTGAAAAATGGGATTTCAAACACGGAATTTCATCAGTGCAAAAGAGCAACGCACGACTGACCATACTCTTCAATAACGTTCCCTGTTGCATCAAGAAGACCATCGACTTCACATCCTCGAACGTGCACGATATCGATCTGCTCTTTGAACGATTTCAACACGTCGTATCTGGTGCCCACCTTCGCTTTCGGTCGACAATTTATCAGAAAGCAGACGTCATGCTTTCGCAGACCTTCCCATTCCGATCGAATATCGTTACGTTTCGGTAGTGTCACAACGATATCGGCCTTCACTGATGCTGGACTCTTCTCGCCTATNCCCAACGGAATCATCAAAACAACGTAACAACGCGCCAATTCTCTACTACTAAAGTTCACCCAAATACTGCATTGGTTATCTATTGATTTTAGAGCTCAGCTAAAATTTCTTCAAACCGATCAAAATAATGAAAACGAAAAATTTCTAACTTGAAATGAGCTGATTGGAAGCGCCATCCGAGCCCACCCGCCCCAGACAGTCAGCTTTGGATCCGTTTCGTGCGCCCATGGCTTCATCCGAAATACCGTGTCTTCTATGTCCTGCCGAATTTCATCTGTAAAAGCACGCATGTCAAAACCATCACTACTCGCCACATGTTTCAGCATCCAGTATTATTTCTTCACACTTAAAAATTCACAAATGTTACAAAGTCTTCAAATGAAAACAAACCAACAATCAGTAGAAAAAACTCTTACAAGTGGATTCCATTTGAAAGAGATTGAAATTTCGCAACAGATAATCATGAAACGTCAGAAACTGTAAGTTGAGTTTGTTCAACGCCAGCACTCCTGAAAAACGTGATGAACATAAAAACTCAGCAATACAGTCTGTCTTCAATCGCTCATGCATTCCTAATGTAGACAGTCAAATGACATCAATTCATTAATATACCTCATTTTACTACTCACAAATTTCAAAACAGAAATACGCATCGTTTGTGCAATGTGTAACATCTAAGAGACATACCATCACCATTGTATTTATCATACGGTACCAAATTTACATCCCATATCACTTTTTCTGTTGGATACAACGGTTGATCGTTGAGTTGTTGTAACTGATTTAAACGTCGTTCACAGTGCGATGTCTAAAACGTTATCTTCTTATGTTGTTGTTCCGTATTATAAAGTGATATCGACTGTCATAACAATACAATCAAACGATTATATAATACAATAATGATATCAATCATATTACAACTATAACTATACGAATCTCANGTTGCACTAAAATAGAAACCACGAATATCTAAAACAACAACAAATAATAAAGTGAAAAGCCGAAATATGTACACTGTAAACAATCAAAGACATAAAACAAAAACTATCGCAACGTACAATCATTTCCGTCAAATATTTTTTGCTATAACGCGTTGGCTCGATATTTTCCGAGTAAGGTTCCACCAAATGTAAATATTCAGCAAATTTATACAGATCAGTTTCACTGCAAAAAATAGTGAATTAATAATACGCGCACATTTTCACACACACATTCAGTACAAGTCCAACTTGAAGGTTTGAGTTTTGAATGAACATTTATGATCAATTCCAAATAACGAAAAATTTTCACTAAACTCCGTCCGTGAATCGAAATCCCACTGAAAAACAACACAAACAAATCTTGAATCCGAAACGATTCGCTCTCAAATTTGAAAAGTCAAACAAATTACGAAACAAACTTCATCGAGTCAAATTGTTTCGTCAGCGCTTTACGTGTATCAACTGCGCCAACATTCAGCAGATAAAAATCCGGCATACTATCTCTGAAAAACCAACCACAACCTTCACATCATTCAATGCAAGTCATTGTACGTGACAAAAAAAAATATATTACGAAGGAAATGATGTCTGAAAGGTTATAGGAGCAAATAATAATAACAATAAGCTATTTGAAGACAATCAATTTGTTTTACCTAAAATATTTGAAAGCGGCTTTCTGAAGTTTTATCACATGAGCGTAATGTCGAGCGGTCATCTGAAAATAAAAACAATCACAGAATCCGTGATGAAATCATGCCATCATTTAACAAATATACATCCCATAACCGTCACTTACCAGACTCCTAGATGGACGTTCGTGATACACTGACCACATGACCTCATAATATCGAGGTTAAATTTCTCATATTCCGTTTCTCATAAGAATACTTTTCCGAATGGAAGTGAAAAGTAACGCTACGTATTACTTTTGGAACGAATTTATTCGTTGATTTATCGCTAAGAAACTGATNCACACACATACCTCTCCATCTGTGAGCGATTCACCGGTAACGTCATCAATTTCAAAACGCGAATAAAACTTCAACATCGATAACAATTCGCAAAAGAGCGCTCCAATTTCGGAGCTGATCAACGACGACAGCGTGCAATGCGTGATCACATTACTTGCGTGTAGAATCGCGTTGAAAAAACGTCTGAAATTAAGACACATTACAAGAGTTTGTGCTAAATGACACACACGGGCAGATGGCTGAATTCGAACCCTGCATCACCGTTTCGGTAGTAGAATAATGGAACGATAAGAAAAATTGTGAAATGAGCAAGGAACCAACCTTGTCGTGAGAAGTGCTTCTAGATCGATGAATAATTCCAAACAGCGCTCCAAATAATGCACTGTTTCCATTTCAACTTCTGAAATACATCGAGTAATTATTACGATCCAACTAATCAAATCAGATGATCCAACTCGTCGGATGGACAACATCATCGTTTAATACCAGCTGGAAAAACTAACAAATTCTCTCACCTGTTTCGTCATCCTCAAAACTCGATAATGTCGTTTTGAATTTATTCAATAGATTCCACAAAAATGTCCGATCGAATTCGAATTGCTCGCGTTCTTGTTCACTTTTCTCCACTATTCTCATCTCCATTTTATTCCAGTACTTACGCAGTCTTGGATTCGCTTCAAACAAATCCTCTCGTTGAGACTGCAATATCGGATCATTTGATTTCCTTGCACTTCATGCTATCCTCAGCATCACACTATTCATGGGGGCAGAGAGGGAACCGTTTGAAGAATTTATTATTCGCAGTGATGGAATTCCTCATCATGAAACATCTTTTAGAACTAGAGATGAGATGAACAATCAGTTTAAAAACTCAAAAACAAACCGCCAGAAGATTTTTCCAAATTGAAAGCGAAACTATTTTCGTGATTTGCGCTCGAACAATATCCACCTCCTGAAAATCGCAACATATATGACGGAAGGAGTATATTTGCTCACATATAATGCAGCAGTTATCATCTAAAGTAATAGAATGACTCTAGCAAATGACTCTGCTTCATTTCTATACGACAGAATGAACTGATACCAGATCCGAAATTTAGCAACACTCTTTGAAGCGTCATCGACCTCATCAAGAAAATCATCCAACAATAATAATAAACCAATTGACAACATCGATTTCATAGCATTGAAAGTGATGAATTTCTCTCCAGTTCTCTGTCAAAATCTAGCCAAATTATTAAAAGGCCAATTGTATAAAGATATAAATTGTATAAAGAAAACGAATTGCATGAACTAACCACAGAATTGAAACAATTCACAAGAAATGCAATCAGTGCCGACTGCTCCAGAATGCTTAGCACGTTGTTCGGGTCAGCACCGATAGCTAGTCTCAGAACACGATTGAAAAACTCTGGGAATTGAGCCGGAGCTGACATAATGCACTGAAAGTAGCTGACTTTAGTTAGGGATTATTGTCATTTGACAGTGTTTATACTAAGAAACAAGAAAAAATTTGATCGCAACGTAACAAAACTGCTGCTGATAACTTACCCTCCAGGCTGGGATTCTCTCACGGAATTTCTCATTGACCATTACCACAACTGACATTATGAATTGCACGGAAGCAGTTGATGCTTTGAAATGTGGCCACAGATACTGCTCAAGATACTGGCTGCAATACGAACGAATCAATTGATGAACAACATTACAATCGGACTAAGTCTTTAAAGACTGATTTCAAAAATTAACAAATGGCGAAAGTAATCAAGAAATATTTTCATTTAATAAATAACATCAAGCACGAGGGATAGTTGTTTCCCTTAATTTTTAAAAATTCACCTGAATTCAAGCATGACCACACGTCGTTGATCGAAAAAATGCGACAGCAATTCATCGTTGTAAATTTGATCAATTAATTTGGCATCAAAAGGTCGATGATTTGCCGTATAAGTGGCCCAGTATTGGCATGCTATCTGCAAATTTAAGTGTGTCANTCCTCCAAGAGTACGGCTTGAAATTACCTCTGTTAAACGATCTTTCTGAATTGCACTCACGGTCACAACTGCACCTCCTTTACCCATCGGCTCATTTTTCTTTGACATTATCGCCTTTAAATGTGCCGATGATGAACGCAAACAATGAACCTGTAAATGTAATAAGAATTCAAATATCCTCTATGGGCACAAACATACCAAAACGTCGAAAGTTGCAAAATCGAGATCTGAACCCTGGAGCACTGTCACTATGCTACAATGCACTTCTGCTACTTGCAACAAAATAGACAAACATAAATTCGAAAAAAAACTGCTAAAACCCTGCCTCCCCACCCTCCTTTTTCTAATATCCCGGATACTATCGATTCCTCGAAAAATCAAAATATTTCACGAAAAATAAAAATCACTGCAGCGAATAGCAAAAATTTAATTGGTAATTATTTCCAATTGATGTGAAATGGCAACAGTAGGTAGCTCGTCACGCAAGTAACGGTAAATATTCAAACAAAACCTGCTGCTAATCTTTCCTTGTTCAGTACGATACAACGACAATAATAAAAGAAAACTTAACAAAACATAATAAAATAATCAAAATTCCCTTAGGT